GAGAATGTCGCGATTTTCTAGATTCTTGTTGAAATTCGCTTAATTTGTTTACATATACTCATATAACTTTTATATTTTTCATTTAAAATCCTTTTTTAAAATTATATCTACTTTTGTAATTTATTAATTTTCGTATTACGTATAAAATATTATAGTAATCAGCTAAAATATAATTATAGTAATGTACTATTATGACATTTTCATAACGATATAAGATTTCTTTAATCTAATCGCTAAAACAGTGAAAATAATGTTTAATTAGGATTGACGTACAGCAATTGAGATATGATAAAAAGACTTATCCACCTTTTTTCAGGTATCACAATCAACTCTGCTGTGACGTCGACGACGTCTACCACGGCTTCGGGCGGACAAAGGATTATTAGAACGACGAGTGGCGTTAGTGATCCCGCGATAGATGAACATTTTAAGCGGTCTCTGGGTCCGAAAAAGTACGCGGCCGTCTTCAACGCCACTACTACGGACAAGGAAACTGGCCTGAGTGGTAAATACAGACAGATTAAACATATGTTCCGTAAGAGATAAAATAGACATTCTGGATTCAACATGGACCGGCCTTGGATGATAATATCTTCCATGGTCCAAGCTGGACTAATTTGGATCCAGTCTTGTCTTAGCTTCGTCTTAGTCTGGATCCGTCTTAAGCATTCTTTGCGTAGTTGATGATCACTTCGCAAAAGCACTCGGCGAGACTTGGACAAGGCTTCAGGCAACCAATCGAACTAAGGACTCCTAACCACCGGATAGACTTGCCAGAAATCTTGTCATCCTACTCGTCATCGTTCTCGTCGTTGTCCTCATCGTCGATTGTGGTAACCTACTCGGGTGAAATCGTTCCGCTAAATATACATTAATGATAAGTCGTAATCAATAAGAATTAGCTGAATTCGCGATTATATTCGAGGAACCTGCGTCCAAGTAAAACTACAATTAAAACAGGCCTATCCAATTTAAGCTCCGGAATCAAAACGCAAAGCCATCGATATAAAAAAATTCAATGTAAGATTTTAGGAACTATAAACTGTTGCTATTAAACTACGCTAAACATCACTTAGATGCGAATCATCAACACTTTACAGTCTCCAAAATCTTACATTGAATTTTTTTGCGTCGATGGCTTTGCTCCAGAGCTCAAATTGGACAGGCCTGAATTAGAGGATAAATAAAGAAAATAAACGTCAGGATACAATTTTATAAAAATGAAGGATCTTCAAATTGGATTTTCGTATTGATTTCAACATTTGGGAAAAAGGATATAAGTAAATAGTTCAAAAATGACAGACTAAGAAATCACTAAGTATCTAGAATTTCGGATATTAAGTTTATCGATTCATTTCTCAAACGTAAGTTACATCTTTTACAAATAAACTTCAAATCTGGCTTTATTTATTTTTAAATAAATTAAAATCCGGATTATAATTTTTCTTACATCCGATTTATATATGTTTCTTTATTCGATTTATGTACTTTTTCTTTTTAAGCGTCTTATAAAATTCGTAATCATACACTTATACACTTTTTCCATCTAAACTTTTTCGTAGACATTTTGTTTTAATTGGTACGTACTGCGTTGTATAAGGAGGCTAGGACAAGGAGTGTCCTTGATCTTCTCGCTTTTCAACTGGGTGCTCGTTGTTGTCGCTTTTTCGTCAGACACGCGTATAAGACATCAGAAGGGTTGGCCTGTATTTTGTACGTTGTATTTTATACGGGCGAATTTAATATTATTGTATATAGACACACATATTCCTTTATTATGCCATCGCCACAGTCATTACCGTATAGTTCCGAGTTGTGTATGAATATAAAGTTATTTATTATAATGTTTCATACTTCCTCGCAAAGTATAGTATGTTTATACTTATATATATGTATGTAATATTTACTTATTGTTAGTAAGCGTATGACATTACACTCGTGGAAAATAATGATACGGTCCCTCTTAATATAAATAGTTTCAATAAAGTATCAGCTATTTTTGTCTAATTCGGTCATGTATAATACTATTCATCAATTAAATGCTCGATCACATATCGTGAAATTTTCTCTTTTAATTAAATTGAGTGGAGCTATTAATTGCCTAAATTGAATAAATTTGACAATTAAAAATAGTAATTTATTATTATAACTATTGCTTCACCACTTATTGCATCTTTATCTTAATCCTGGTTTTTGTTGCTGGTAGGCTTTGTAACAGTAGTTTTGCTGATGCCTAATCTTTTACAAGCTGCTACAGTCTATTGTATTATATTTTATGTCTATTACTCTGTTAACATATAATCTTTTCATAGAGCTTTGCAATAAAGTAAATTAAACTAAATTAAATTAATTTACACGATATCTATTGCGTATTTAATTATACTCACAAAGCAGAAGCATGTGTCGCGTGGGCAAAATAATTTAGACAACTGTGACACTTTTAATTCGTCCCAACTATGGGAGGAGGGGGGGCGGATCATTGACCATGGGTGCATATATATTATAATAACGACCGTTATGCCGGAGAAATCTCTTGGTGAGTGAGACTTACGGGAAGCGAGTAGACACAACTATATAATTTAACTAAGCAGAGCACCATGTTAGTGAATCGAATAAATATCATGTAAGTGTCACGTCTTTGAGCCACGGTGTTGCTCAAAGTTGTAAAGAGAAAAACAATTGAAAATATGTACAGGCAAACGATGATAACAATGATGTATGAAGAAAATTAAAGGGAAAAGATGTTTAATTATTTTCAGCGTGCATTAATTTCTATCCTATCTTTCTCGATCCCTCAATGGAACAATTGCATCCGCAAGGAATGACCCTGTTTCGCTTCGCACTCTAATTGCCGAATGCTAAGAAGAGTAGTACTGATTTCTAATGGTGCTAGGAAGTCCAGCACATACCCCAGCACGCACAGAAGTCAGTACCTCTACTTTCTTATATGCGAAAATTCTATTACTCTTTACCGTTGTAAAGTGCGTTGCGCAAATTGATAGCGAGTTTTCAAGTAGAATTATCTCGAAAGCCTTATTACGAGGTGATGTTCAGTGTAGATTCAAGAGTATCTGTGGAAAATTTTCTCTTTACGATATTGAATAATATCAAACATAATTAATATAATCAATTGTTTGGTTTTTTCTAATTACTAAATAATAATTATTAAATATTTAAAAAAATAAAAATATTTCTGATTACATTAATATAACTGAACCTTTGATTGAAATTATTTCACTTATCATTTAGTAACTATTCTTTTTTCACATTACATTGTATTGAATAATTCTTGAAACCTATTTTATGTCTTCGAATGCAAAGAAATTGATTTTATATAATAGAATGTTTCAATTCTATTGATTGAATTACCCCTCGTGGTGCTATACGTACCTCTTTTCGACAATTTCAGTAGGTTTTCATCCCGTTTCGATGGTTTCGACCGGCTAAGGAAGATGTAATCGGTACCTTTCCAGGCGAATAATGTGAAGAACGAACGGGGATGTATCTCAAGATAATCTGCGAGAAAGCGCGATAGGTGGGCCCAGATGGGATTTACTTCCAGAAATTCACGCTCTTTCCC